GGACGGATTTCGGCACGCGCACGCGACAACGCGCGCGCATGCAGTTCGTCATATTTGCAAGCGGTCTTCGCGACGGCACGCGCGCTGGCGTTCGAACGATTTCGACGTGCGCGCGCGAAGCCCGCTTGGTATCATTTTCTGACAACGATGAAGAACCAATGGTTTTCTTAAGCATTCGCAAGAGCGCGCGAGCAAGTTTTTTTGTTGAAGCGCAGTGTTGCGAGACCCTGTGCTTTCATAGTTTTTTCCGGACACTCGATTCTGAAATCCTCTCGAAACCGGAAGTTTTTGAAGGATTTCGGCATGCGCGCGCGACGACCCGCGCGAGTGCATTTCGTCCCGTTTTTGCGTGCAAGGGATTCTTGGAAACCGATGATTTTTGATAAAACGAGTTTGCGCGCATGTGTTTTTTGCATAGGATGGCGGGGGGGGGGGATACCAGCCCCCATGGGATGGTGCGAACTCATGTTTCGGATGGGCGAAAGGGCAGACTTACATGTACATTGCAATACGAAGTTGGGCACCGGTAGTCTGAGGGGGTAGAGTCTACTTATTCTCTTTCAAGAAAAAGTTAAATTCTGTTCGTAGTGAGTTGTGACCTGCACTGCTCGCGCAACCATCCCACACACCCGCTCGCAACTTGGTTTGCGAACCCCATGCGCATGCTCGCGCGCGCAGCGGCCAGCTAGTTTGGCGCGACCGACCCGGCCGCGGTGGCGCTCACCGCTGGGCAGTTCCCAGCGGGCAATTCAGTGCGAGTCGGCGACTTTGGCGGGCGCGGTATTATGGCAACGTCGACGAAGGTAGAAACGATGATGGTAGTAACGATGCTGGTGACGATGCTGACATCGACGACGGCAATGCCAATGACGGCGCCGATGCTGATTACGCCGATGACGATGGCGACGTCCTCGTGTCGGTGGGTTCTGGAGTGAGTTCGATGTGCGCGGGCGGCTGACGCGCGAGAGTGGCCCGCGTTGTATTATTTGACACGGATCGTCCCCCCCCCAGCACGCGCGCAAGGGCGTTCGAATGATTTTGAAAGGCGGTGCGAGAAGCCCGTTTGGCATCATGTAGTGAGCGTGTCGAAAAACTTCACAATTCGCAGGTGTTCGAGCGCAGGCATTCTTGAAAACGAATGTTGCGTAACCGCGTTTTTTTTGTGTGTTCGGGACATTCGATTTTGAAATCCATACGAATTTCGATATGTTCGAGAGATTTTGGCATGTGCGCGCGACGACGCGCGCATGTGCACTTCGTTTAGTGTGTTGCATGGAGTTTCTGCGACAGCGCGCGCGCAAGAGGCGTTCGAGCATTTCCGACATGTGTGCTCGTGAGGCCCTGTTGATAGCATGGTATGAAAATTTGAAAAACGTATGAATTCTTGAAGAATTCGCAAGAAACCGAACGCAAGTTTGTTTTGAAAATCATGGATACGAAGCCGTGTGCTTTACATATTCTCGGGACATTCGATTTTGAATTTCGTACGATCATTTCAACAAGAAAGATTTCGGCATGCACGCGCTACGATGCGAACGTGCGCGTTCCTTCTCATTTTTGCAAGGTTTTGCTTGGAACGTTTATCAGTTTTGACAAGAATGCGCGCGCATAGTACTCTTTTTCCAGAGGATGAGGGTGGGGATGCCGGTTTAGCTGGAATGGTACGAGTCCTTTTTCCGGATCGACGGTCGAGCATAATCATACGTACATTGCACTACGCATAAAGGGGGACTGTTAATTCCGGCGGGGATGGGTGCAGATTGTATTGCCCGTTGAGAAAATATCATTGGTGTTGAGCAATATACGTGGTACAATCTATTCACTCCCATCTGTTCATATTCATCTGGACCCTGCGGAAACCCTGCCGGCCTAGAAACGGGACCCCCGGATCCGGGGCTCTTGGACGCCCCTTCAGACCGTGGACGCGCTAACGATGTGTTAGCTAACGGCGATGTGCAACACCCAATTGTAGGAATGGTTCGTGGCCAAACCAATTGTAGGATCGTGTGGTTGATGTTTTCCTATAGTTCGTTGTGCCATTTTCGCTCGGTACATTCGCATACCTGTAGTATAGGAAACGGTGCTTCGTGATTTCCTACATTTTCTTCCAAGGGAGCTCGGTGTCACAAGAACCATATTTCCAACCGCATCGTTACTCTGGATTGCTTAACAAGCGTGGGGGGGGGTGGATCGCGTGGGGGGGTGTCGTTTTTGGTGCCTTTGCAGGGGTGCGCGTGGGGAGGATCGGAACGGGCCGTCTGCCGGGATGGCACGGGGGGGGGGCGCTTATCATGCAATCTGGAGTAGCCAAGCACGCCGTTGGCACGGTCGAAGGTCAGAGGGTCCCGCGGGATTTGCCGGCCTCGCAGAGTCCGTGTCCAGCCGTGCAGACGGGTCGGCGGCGGTCCCGATAGACCCCCAAGGGCGGCCCAAGAGGGCCTGCAGCGGCCGTGGGCCCCCGCCAGACGCCAGAGGACGGCCCAAATACCACCCCCACGAGGATTTCGAAACGCATGGATCCTCCTCTCCCTCCTCCTCTCCCTCCTCCTCCTCCTCCTCCTCTCCCTCCTCCTCCTCCTCCTCCTCCTCCTCCTCCTCCTCCTCCTCGTCCTCCTCCCTCTTCGAAGCGCAAGAGGATTTCGATCACCCCCGGTTGACTGCCGTTGGTTTTTGTATGATTTTGGGCTGCTCGGTCATTCGGTCTCCCAGGCGTCCGAGAGCGCCCGAGAGGCAGCACAAGTCGCCCCAAGACGACCGAGAGAAGGGTTCCTGGCAGTCCCAGAGAGCCCCAACACGGCCCAAGGGGGCTCAGCAACTGCCCACAGAGGTCCCCCTACGACGGGCCAGAGCTTGCCAACAGCGCCCTCTGGAATGACATTCGAGCTGTGACCCGAGACCACGGTTCGCGGCCAGGCGGCCCGAGGACCCCCCCCCTCAGAGGCCGCCAAAAAAGGCGCCAGGGACGTCTCTGGACGCGCCCGAGGAGCCCCTGCAAAAGCTTCCGCGGGGTCCTCCAGAAGCTCGCTTCGGAGAGGAACCTCCGCAGACAAGTCCGAGGAGGACAGGGTAGAGTTCGCGGGGCAGTTGGGGGCGAGAACGAGGCAGAGGCAGAGGAAGAGGACACGTGAGGCAAGGAGGATGAAAACAATATTATAACGATGACAGCGCAACAAAAAACTGCAACCAACAGCGATCGCTGTTTTGGTTGATCTACCTCTCTCATATTCTGCCTGCATACTAGAGGTGAAGGACCAAGGCGTATGGTGCGAAGCGCCCATGCAGCCTTGTTTCCAGTTATATATACACACACCTATAACTACACATGTGTATATATATACATACACACATATATATACATATGTATGCATGCGAATATGTTTGTCTGTATGCATGCATGCATGTATGCATGTATGTATGCGTGCATGCATGTATGTATGTGTGTATGTAGACGTGTGTATATGTATGTATGCATGCATGTACTGTATGTAATGCATGTATTGCGTGTAATGTATGGTCGGTATGCTTGTTTGTGTATATGCATGTATGTATGTATGTATGCATGCATGCATGCATGCATGTATGTATGTATGTATGCATGTGTGTATGTACGTATGTGTGTAACTGTGAATAACTGTGTGTACGTGTGTACGTATGTATGCATGTATGCATGCATGTATGTATGTATGTTTGTTTGTATGTATGTATGTATGTATGTATCGATGAATTGATGTATGTTTGTTTGTTTGTTTGTATGTGTGTATGTATGTATGTATGTATGCATATATGCATTAATGCATGTATGTATGTATGTATGTATGTATGTATGTATGTATGTATGTATGTATGTATGTATGTATGTATGTGTGTATGTATGTATCTATGCATGTATGTAGCTAGGTATGTATGTATGTATGTATGTATGCATGTATGCATGTATGTATGTATGTATGTATGTATGTATGTATGTATAGTATGTATGTCTATGTGTGCATGTATGTGTGCAACTGTGTGCATGTGTCTATGTATGTATGTAGTTAGGTAGGTTGGTATGTAGGTCTGTCGGTATGTAGGTATGTAGGTATGTAGGCATGTATGTCTGTATATATGTATGCATGCATGCATGCATGCATGCATGCATGCAGGTATATAGGTAGGTTTTGTGCACTATCTGTTGTATTATCTTTTTGTCGATCAGCATGTGTGGTGCAATGTATGTGGTGCAACATTTGTGGTACGTTACATGTTGTGAAACATATTTGGGGCCAATTGTGTGGTGCAATCTATGTCGGAATTCTATGTTGTGCGTTCTAGGTTGTGCCGTGCATGTTGTGCAATCCATGTGATGCACCCTGTGTGGTGCAATCACTGTGGAGTAATAACTGTGGTGCAATACATGTGGTGCGGGATATATGCTGTGCAGTCTATGTGGAGCAATCTATGTGGATCAATCTATGTTGAGCAATCTCAATCTATGATGTGCAGTCCTTGTTGCGGCGACGGGGCGGCGAAGGGGCGGCGACGGCGGCAGCGAGGCGGCGGACCCGACAAACGAGCCCACACGAAGGGCGGCGTCGAGGCGGCGACGGCAGCAACAAGGCGGCAGACTCGACAAACGAGCCCAGACGACGGGCGGCGACGAGGCGGCGACGAGGCGGCGACGGGGCGACGGTGGCAACAACGCGGCGGACCCGACAAACGAGCCCAGACGACGGGCGGCGACGAGGCGTCGACGGGGCGGTGACAGCGGCAACAACGCGGCGGACCTGGCAAATGAGCCCGGACGACTGGCGTTGACGAGGCGGCGACGGAGCGGCGACAGCGGCAAAAAGGCGTCGCACCCGACAAACGAGCCCAGCTCCATGGAAAACAGGTAAGAAACCCTAAGTGCAAGCATTGTTTGGTGAAAAAGGATTGGGATTGAGGAGGGAGTGGGGAAGGGAGAAGGGAGTACGAGAGAAGTAGCAGGAGGCGGGAGGACAAAGGGGGGGAGGAGAGCTCAGGCTGTGGCGGTCCAGATGCCCGACGGCAGCTTCAAGGTCGTGCCGCCCAAGGGCTCACGGTCCGGCAGGGCCACGATGCCTTCCGTGGTCGCCTACAACGCAGCCGGCCAGGTCCCTTTCTGAAGCTCAAGCGAGTACGCGCGCACGCCCGCACGCGCGCGCACGCGAACGTACGCTAGCACGCGTGCGCACGCGCTCGGCAGCCCCGCAAGTAAGCGCGCGCGTGCGAGCACACCCTGCAGGCCAGCACGCGGTGCGCAGTCGAGCGCAGAGGAGCAAACCGAAGGGCCACCTCTCGCAGCGGCGGCGAGAAAGTCAAATCTCGCCGCCGGCCAGGTGGTCGTCGGCGCCGATGCCCTGCGGGTGAAGCCCGACGGGGTCAAGCAGGTCGTCTTCCGATCGGTGAAGCGGCTCTTGGGGCGCACCTACGCCGAGGTGCACAAGGCGCACGGGGCTCCGAAGCGCGCCGGGCCCAGAAGAGCCAACGTTACGGGGCACATACACACCACCACCATCTTCTTATCCCCATCCCTCACACAGTGGAATTGAATGCCCGTGCCATGCGATGCAATACGCTGGAAGCAGAAGGATCCTGCGCTTGCCGTGCGGAGACTATGCACCATCCCTCTCCCAGGAGAGGAGGGGAGGAGGAGGGTAGACGAGCGAGGGGGAAAAGGAGGTGGTGGCGGTTGTGTATATGGCTCGGGGCCGCGAAAGTCTCCAGGAGGAGGAGGAGGAGGAGGAGGAGGAGGAGGAGGAGGAGGAGGTGGAGAAGGAGGAGGAGGAACATAAGAGGAGGAGGAGGAGGAGGAGGAGGAGGAGAGGAGAGGAGGAGGGGAGGAGGAGGAGGAGAAAAAGGGAGGAGAGGAGGAGGAGGCGGAGGTGGAGGAGGAGGAGGAGGAGGAGGCGGAGGAGGGAGGAGGCGGAGAGAGGAGGAGGAAGAGGAGGTGGAGGAGAGGGAGGAGAGGGAGGAGAAGGGAGGAGAGGGAGGAGAGGGAGGAGAGGGAGGAGAGGAGAGGAGAGAGGGAGGAGAGGAGAGGGAGGAGAGGGAGGAGAGGGAGGGAGGAGAGGAGAGAGAGGAGAGGGAGAGAGGGAGGGAGGAGGGAGGAGAGGGAGGAGGGAGGAGAGGAGAGGGAGGAGGAGAGGGAGGAGAGGAGGAGAGGAGAGGAGAGAGGGAGGATAGGAGGAGAGGGAGGAGAGAGGAAGGAGGAGAGGGAGGAGGAGAGGGGAGGAGAGGGAGGAGAGGGAGGAGAAGGAGGAGAAGGAGGAGGAGAGAGGAAGAAGGAGGAGGAGGAGGAGGGAGGCGGAGGCGGAGGAGGAGGAGGAGGAAGAGGAGGAGGAGGAGGAGGAAGGAGGAGGGGGCGGAGGCGGAGGAGGAGGAGGAGAGAAGGAGGAGGAGGCGGAGGCGGAGGCGGAGGCGGAGGAGGAGGAGGAGGCGGAGGAGGAGGAGGAGGAGGAGGAGGAGGAGGAATACTAATACTGATGGCAATAATATCAATCGTAGTAGTAGTAGTAGTAGTAGTAGTAGTAGTAGTAGTAGTAGTAGTAGTAGTAGTAGTAGTAGTAGTAGTAGTAGTAATAGTAATAGTAGTAGTAGTAGTAGTAGTAGTAGTCGTAGTAGTAGTAGTAGTAGTAGTAGTAGTAGTAGTAATAATCATAACATTAAGAACAATATCACTAATACTGCTCAGAATACTACTACTAAAATAATAATATTAATACTAATGCAACTACTACCATTATTTCTACTACTACTAATAAGAATATTATTAATAACCATAATATAATTTTTAATACTAATAATGACAATATTGGTAATAGTAAAGATAATAATACGAATGATAATACTAGTAATCATACCACTAATAATACTAACACTAATAATAATAGTCATAATGGTAATAGTAATACTAATACCACTAACACTAATAATAATAAGAGTATAATAATACTACTACTAATAATGATATTAATAATACGATTAATTAAACTAATAATCATAGTAATAGTAATAATAATAATGAACATAATAATACTGATGATAATGATAATCACGATAGTAATAATAATAATAATGATAATGATAATGATGATAGTAATACTAATAATCATAATAATAATATTAATAATAATAATATTAATATTATTAAAAATAATAATAATAATCATAATAGTAATAATCATAATCATAATCATAATCATAATCATAATCATAATCATAATCTTAATAATAATACTAATACTAATAATAATAGTAATAATAATAATAATAGTAATAATAATAATAATGATAATAATGACAATAATAATAATATTATTAATAGTAATGATAATAATGATAATAATAATAATACTAATAATAATAATAATAATAATAAGAATAATAATGGAAGCAATACTAATACTACCAATAAGACTAATAGTACGAATAAGAAAAGAATTAATACGAATTATAATAAGAAGAGGAGGATGAGGCGGAGGCGGAGGCGGAGGCGGAGGCGGAGGCGGAGGCGGAGGCGGAGGCGGAGGAGGAGGAGGAAGAGGAGGCGGAGGCGGAGGCGGAGGCGGCGGCGGCGGCGGCGGCGGCGGCGGCGGCGGCGGCGGAGGAGGAGGAGGAGGAGGAGGAGGAGGAGGAGGAGGAGGAGGAGGAGGAGGAGGAGGAGGAGGAGTGTCGAGGCCTCCGTGTCTTGGGAGGCCTGGCGCCCACTGGCGCCCCCCGCGGCGGAGGCTTGCGCGCAGCGGTCCGCGCCAGGGGTCCCGGGCGCCCCCCTCTCGGCCCTCCCCCGCGCCTCTCGTGCCCGGATCCCCTCCCGCCTCTTCTTGCGCAGTTCGGTCGGGCGTACAGCCCACCCGCGCAATGAGGATGGGCAGGCTTCCCAAGGGTACCCTCGCATCCCTGCCCCTTCGGCCCATCCTTGGCCACTCGCAGGCCATCCTCTTTCGAAAAACGTGCACATGGGCCTGCAAGGCCCTTGCGTCCTTACCGCGCATCCTTATGATACGGGTTGGGTGTAGACGCCGAGTAATGGATCGACTGCAGAATCGATTCACCCCAGAATTAATTCTCTCGCCGGGTCTGTGGAGACATACTACTCAGCATTCCTTAAGGTTTTACGAACATTCTACGTCTTCGTCGCAGATCCGAGGGTGAAATATCTTCTGTAGTCGATCCCCTGCTCGAAGGCGGCCCCTGCACGAGCGCAACCCCCAGGCGGGTATCAACCCCAACGCCCTGGGCGCCGACCCGCGCGGGCTCAGCTCGGAGCCCGTGCGGCTGCTGCTGCCGGGCGGCGGGACCCTGATGCCGGAGCAGGCTCGGCACACGATCGACATGGGCAAAGAAAGAATGGGAGGAGGAGGAGGAGGAGGAGGAGGAGGAGGAGGAGGAGGAGGAGGAGGAGGAGGAGGTGACCACGGGGCCGGCGCCCGCCCCCCAGAGCGGTAATGTCATCGGGGGGGGGGGAACGGGCCACGGGTTCGAGGTTCGAGGCTCGAGGGCCATGCCGAAGGCTTTCAGAATGCATGGCGAAGTTCCCGCAATTCCTCGAGCTACAGTCGACCCGCATATCAAGGATGGACAACCTTCCCAAGGGTACCCTCGCATCCTTGCCCCCTCGGCCTATCCTCAGCGACTTTCGCTGGCCAGCCTCGTTCGAAAAACGTCAACATGGGCCTGCAAGGCCCCCTTGCATCCTTGCCGCGCATCCTTGTGGTACGGGATGACTGCACAAAGACCGACAGGAGCGTTTCCTGTTCGTTTTGGACCAGCCTCGCTGTCCGCACCGCCGCGGGCGTGGTCCACTTGAGGCAGAAGGCCGCCTGCCCCAAAGCGGCCGCTGCTGGTTTGGGGAAACAGTTCGTGGTTGGACTTTGTACCCGTTTTCTTCGTACCCGTTTCGGGCGTTCGCACAGGTGGTGGCGCAGCTCATCCGCGCACTGGTGGCGCACGCCGAGGCGTTCCTCGGGCAGCGTGTGACGCGCGCCGTGCTGGGGACGCCGGCGCAGTTCACGAAGAGCCAGACGATGGCCCTGGAGCTCACCACCCGGCCCATCAAACCACCCCTCAGCCCAACCCGAGGGCCCCCATTTGCCCTTCCTCCCCGTGGGGGGGGGGCGTCAGGGAGCGTTGAAAACCACGTGTGGAACCCGTACCCCCCTGGACTTTGGGTCTTCGGGTTGGGTTGGGGTGGTCTGGTAGGTATAGTGGAGACCCATGCCAAGAAACACCCCGGTCGCCTCCTGGGTGCCCTCTGGATTTCTTGGGTTTCGATGGGTTTTGCGATGGGAAGCGCGACGCTCCCACACCAACAGTCAATGAACGTCCTGGGGTCTCAGGGTTGGGTTTCCTGTGGAAGGTTTCTTGTGGGCAGTGGCTTCCCGCTGCAGCCAGGAGCGTGCCGCGGAACTGAGCGGGATCCAGTACGTCACCACGGCCCCCGAGCCGGAGCTGGCCGTGAGGGCCTACGGCTACAAGCTGAACCCCTCCAGGTACCTGCCGCGCGCGGCGGCGGCCCGTGCTGCGGGCGGCGGCGCAGCCCAGCGGGGCGGCGACGGCGGCTCCGCTGCCCAGGCTCGGCGACCACAAAGGGTACCCTGAGATCCCGGCGTGGCAATTTTTTTACCCCCGGACTGCACCCCCGGGCTTCACCCCCGGGCGTTGTCGCTTGATTTCGGGCCCCGGGAGCCTCACAGATCGATCCAGCTCGCAAAATGACGCAGAAAGATGGGGCCCGGGGGTTCCTGGCATGATTTTTTGCGAGGTTGCAGCTGCAACATCGGATCTCAGGGTATGGTTACGCCGGGGTGTGGTTTGCCATGGGCGCCGTTGGGGCCTGGGGAGCACGACAATGTCCTCGTCGGGCCTCCTCGGGGGGCGGCGGAGATCTCTGTCGAGGTTCTGGCCCGCTCCCTAAGGGTGCCCCTTGGGGTGCTGGTTGCAGAGCACACCCTTTGCAAGCCACACCCTTCGGAGTCGCCGAAAGGTGGAGGGGTACGACTTCTACGCCGACGTGGACGAGGAGGAGCTGGAAAGTGCTGCAAGGGACCAGATGGATATGAAGCATGTCATGGTCGCCGACGTTGGCGGCGGCACCTTCGACGTCTGCATGGTGCGGCACATAGTGAACTGGGACGAGATACACGTCCTGCACACGTCTGGCGACGAGGGGCTGGGAGGCGACGACTACGACACCGCCCTGGCCAAGTGGGCGGAGAAGGAGCTCGAGCCCCACTTCAGGAAAGAGCAGGTGAACTTGTGGCCCCTGTCGCCAGGGAACAAGAAGAAGCTGCGCATGGAGATTCGGAAGGCCAAGGAGCGGTTAAGCAGCATGGAGTCCACGACGATTCCGTTCGCGGGCGCCAATTTACCAATCACCCGGCATATTTTCAATGTCGTCACCCTTCAGACGACACGACGTTTCTTGCGGCCGATTCGCGAGTGCGCTTTTGGAGCCGACGTCCGTTTGCCCGGCGAGACGATAGCTGAACTCGCCTACGACAAGGCCGTGAAGAGGCAAAAGTCGGTGGAACCAAAGAAGACCAAGAAGAAAAACCTGGATGATAAGAAAAAAAACCAGAATGCGAAGGCTATCATCCAAGACTGCGCGGACGAGATACAGAAGGAGGAGGCAAGGGTGGATGCGGTGCTGTGCATCGGCGCAGCCTCTTGGACCCCCGCCGTGCGCGAACTGCTGAGGATAGTCACTGGGTGCACGCCCGATCTGGCGCAGGTGGACCCTGAGACTGCCTGTGCCCTGGGAGCGGCCATCCTGGCGGCGGTCACCGATTCGAAGATCGACGACATGCATGTGCACTCTGGCTGGCGAAACACCTGGGCGACTTACCTGATGAAGAAACCGAAGCTGTTCAAACGCCTGCAGCAGGAGAAGGAGGAATTCCTCAAGAAGGAGGAGGAGTCTCCAGCGATCGTTGCGCCGACGGCGGCTGCGAAGCTGCCGAAGCTGCACGAGGCTGCGCGCAAGGGCGACATGGACGTCATCGGTGCCCTCCTGGAGCGCTCCCCCAACGTGGGTGAGCTGCTGTGTTCCGAGTCGGGAGGTGCACCGCCGGGAAGCATCCACGTGCGCAGCTGGCCGAGCCCTGCCCTGGGATCCCTGGGTTAGCCGTGGATGCGGACAGGGTCGCGGCCGGAGGGGCGGGCGCATTGTCCACGTCTCCTGCCCCGGCGAGAGGTCCTCTGAGAGTCTGCGCCGGCACCGAGGTAGAGCTAAGCTAACGCTAAACTGACACTAAACTGTAAAAGCGAAGCTGAAGCTGTACTGGAGCTAAACCAACACGAAGCTGAAACGACGCTGAACCTGAACGAAAATGAAGTCGGGCACGTCCCTCTACAGGAGGAACATCCGAGAATAGTCAAACAAAAAGCATGGGGACGAGTTTTCTATTGTTTTTCTGACTTTGGAGTACTTCCTTATTTTTCTGGATTTTTTGTTCCAAAGTCCCCCTGCAGGAGGACACGCCCGACCAAAAACTGGAGTCCAAATCGTGCCTCGCGCCTCGCGGTCTGGGCAGGAGCGCCGCCTTCCCCCCTTCGAGGGGCGGCGCGAGGGCTGGCGCGGGAGGGGGGCACCCCGCGGTGGGCGCGCGGAGGCGCCGCGGGGCGGTGCGCGGTGGCTGCGCGGACCGGGGCGACCCGGGAGATCCTCGGGGCCGGGGGGCCACACGCGAACCCTGCGTCTCGAAATCAGAGAGCGCCATGAACACGACTCGTTTGGCGCTGCGCGCGGATCTCCTGGATCCGCGCTGGGCCCCTCCGGCGGTGCCTCCGGCGCCGCCCCTGGTGCGCTCCGCGCTCCAGGGAAGGGGGTCCAGCGCAGATCCAAGGAACCCGCGCGGAGCGCCAAAATACTCTGTTCATGGCGTTTTTTCTTTTCACTTCGGTAGCAGATCATGGGAGCCTGGCGTACCCTCTCATCGGCGGCCAGCGAGGGGGGGACGTGAGGATGAGAAGGCCTTCTCAGAAGGCTCGGAAGTGCCCCGGCCTTCTGAGAAGTTTTCTAATCTTCCCCCGAAGACAGGCAGACACTTTTCAGAAGGCGCGAGGGCTTCTGAGAATTTCCGCCGCCTTCTGCGAAGACCTTCTGCTTCTGATTTCTCCCCTCGCTCTCCGCCGATCTTAATTCCATCTGCAGCATCGATGATCTTCGATTAGCGTCTGGAAGTCGATGAGGTAGTGCCGACTTAGCGTCGGGTAGCGTCGATTAGCCTCGATTTAGCGTCGATTAGCGTTGATTCAGCGTCGACTAGCGTCGATTCCAAAGAGCGGACAAGATGGTGTGGGAGGTTCCCATGAGTTGCCACCGAACCCTGCCCCACCGCCCCACGATTTCTCTCTAGGCCTCCTAGATGGGGTCGGAGTAGACGGGGTCGGATAATCGCGCCGTATCGCCGATGCGTCGACGATGCGGCTCCATGCGGAGCCTGATTTTCTCCACGCCGACGTCGCCAATGCGTCGCCGACGTCGGCGATGCGGCGCGATCCTCCGACCCCATCTACTCGGACCCCATCTAGGAGGCCTTTATACTCTTGCGCAGGGTGTCGGCACACTTATTTTATTTCCGACTACTTTATTCTCTAGAGTTCCGACTACTTTATTTTATTTCGGCACGGCACACCCCTCATCACCTACACATTCCACCAGCCAACGCGACCCTCCACCCCACCCCCCCCGCTTCAACCCACCCACCAGCACCCACCAGCCAGTGCGCTCCTCCGCCCCGACTCCTTTATTTCGGCACGGCACACCCCTCCGCCCCGACCCCCACCAGCACCCACCAGCCAGTGCGCCCCTCCGCCCCGACCCCTTTATTTCGGCACGGCACACCCCTCCGCCCCGACCCCTTTATTTCGGCACGGCACACCCCCCTCCGCCCCGACCCCCACCAGCACCCACCAGCCAGTGCGCCCCTCCGCCCCGACCCCTTTATTTCGGCACGGCACACCCCTCCGCCCCGACCCCTTTATTTCGGCACGGCACACCCCCTCCGCCTCCCCCACCCACCAGCCAGCGCGCCCCTCCGTTCCGACCGCTTTATTTCGGCACGGCACACCCCTCCGCCCCGACCCCTTTATTTCGGCACGGCACACCCCCTACGCCCCCCCCACCCACCCACCACCCCACCCACCAACCAGCGCGCCCCTCCGCCCCGACCCCTTTATTTCGGCACGGCACACCCCTCCGCCCCGACCCCTTCTATTTCGGCACGGCACACGCCCTACGCTCCCCCCACCCACCAGCCAGCGCGCCCTCCGCCCCGACAGCTTTATTTAGGCACGGCCACCGCTCCGCCCCGACCCCTTTGATTCGGCACGGCACACCCCTTCGCCACCCCCACCCCCTACGCCCCCGTCCCACCCCCCCACCCACCAGGCACAGTGCGTTACCTCCGCCCGACCCCTTTTATTTTCGGCACGGCGCCCCCCTCCGCCCCCGACCCTTACATTTCGGCACGCGCACCACCCCTCAGCCTCCCCCCGCCCACCAGCCAAGCGCGACCCCTCGCCCCGACACCGTTTTTATGCCGGCACGGCACACGCTCCGCCCCGAACCGATTTTATTCGGCACGGCACACCCCTATGCACCCCCCCCGCCCACCCCCCCACCCCACCACCAGTGCTGCGCGACCCTCCGCTCCGACCCCCAGGCCGTTTTACATTCGGCTGCGGAGTGCGCAACCGCCCCGACCCTTTATTTCGGCACGGCACACCCCCTCCACGCCCCCTCTGCATCCCCCCACCCAGCAGCCAG